GACCAACTCCTCGCTCGAGCGAAGGTCCAAAAATCTGGGCAGCAACACTAGGCTCCCAAACACAACCAACCTGTAACAAACCTGCCCAACACATCCTATAACTCAATATACAAAGTAAAGAGGATACAAACTTGATAATAAACAACTACCAACATCCACGGACACATGTCCGGATCACTGTATAACAAGGGTAAACCCGGGATCGCTATAAGAAACTGAATTAATCGAATAAGGGATGCAATCCAAGGCTCTCACCGAATTAATCCAAGGCTCGGAATTAAAATCAAATGCCAAGCTCGGAATCAATCGATTGGTGCTCGTGTAACTAACATCATCCGAGGGGCAGTGGCTGGTGGTGCTCGTGTGTTTGTGTGAGATGTCGATGGAGAGAAAAGAGAGAGAAGGAGAAGAGAGAGAGAGAGAGAGAGAGAGAGAGAGAGAGAGAGACGTATATACAAAAAAAAAATAAATGTGTGAGCTAACAGATTGCTAATAAACCTGTGTTAAAAAAAAAAAAAACTGTTATTTTAAATCAGATTGCTAATAAATCTGTTAAAAAAAAATGACAATATTAATGAATAAATAAAATTGAGATGCAAAGAATGTGAAATTTTAAAAATATTAACAAATAAATAAAATTTGGAGTAGAAAATTTTAGAAAAAAAGATTTAAGTATAAGTTTGTAAATTATTTTTGTATTAAAAAAATCTAGATTATAACTAGAATATCTAGTTTATTGGAAAAAAAAATAAAAAATTGTCATATCTACTAGAAATTTATAAATATTTAAGCACGTCTAGAATTTTTTTTTTATTATTTATAATTAAAATATAATTTCTCTAGAGAATGAGACGGTTTGAGACAAAAACAAGAATGGATCTAGAATGAAAGTGATTGTGACATAAGTTTTTAAATATATATATATATATATATATATTTTTTGTTTTACTTTTTAAATTCAAATAATTTACATATACTTTAGAAGGAAAAATATTTTTAATTTTCTAAAAATATCACTAAATTCAAAAACATATAAAATTTAATATTTTACGACATGAAATTTATATTGTTTTAAGTGCAAATATTTTATAACATATTTTTGTATGTCATGAAAAATATATATTTTTTACAGCATACTTTTACATGCCATAAAAAAATCAAATTGTATTTATTTTTATTTTTTTTGTACAAGTTTTCATGACATTCATTAGCATGTCGTGTAAAATTATAATATTTTACAACATGAAATGCATGTCGTCTTAAGTACAAATATTTTACGGCATATTTTTGTAAGTCATAAGAGCATACATTTTTTACGGCATACTTTTACATGTCATAAATATATGAATTAACGACTTACATGGCATGTATGTTGTTATTGACAAAACATTAACGACTTGTAAAAAAAAAGGTCGTATACTAACTATGATATGCATTTAATGCACGCCGTAAACATAATGTCGTAAATAGTTAGTTTTGTTGTATTTAATGCATGCCGTAAACATGATGCCGTAAATAGTTAGTTTTGTTATATTGGTTGTAGTTTTCATAAGGCTTTTTACAAAAAGTCTCTTTTGTTTATTATATATTACAATTATATAGATGGATAGATATAGATATAGTTTTGAAAGAAAATTTTTTAAAAATTACTATACTTGATGGGTAAAGATTAATGTATGAAATATTGAATATTTATTAATTTTGTAATAAATGCATTTTATATTTTCCAACAAATTTACAATTAGGAAATAAAAAATAAAAAAAAAAATTTACTCTACTTGATGTGCAAACATTAGTTTTTTTTTTTTTTTTTTATGAGATTTTTTTTTTTTATGAGACGTGGTGGAACACAAGAATACTTTGTGGACTTAGGTCATGTTTCTTTGTACAGGCTGGATAATGGGAGATTGTAATCCATCGAATCGTTAATCCTAGGATACATAGTCCCTTGATTATTTGATTGGAAATGATGTATATCTTATGTTTGTTTAGTCATGAGATTAGAATTCTCTATTAGGTGATGTTCAAGTAGTGGAGACTTTGCAATCAGAGGCTTTTGCTGGATGTTAGCTGTTGGTGACCTTTTGCTATGCTGGTTTTTGTGTTGTCTGTTGCCTTTTGTTTTGTTTTTCTTCTGGTTGGTTGCTCACCAACTGTGATGGTGTGCTTGCAAGAGATTGGGCAGTCATATTGGTGTCAACCTAGTTGGGATTGGTATGTTTGCTACGATGATTTTGCACCCATCTGTTTCCTTTTCTGATGTAATATTTTTTTTTGCCGATCAAAAAAAAAAAAAAGGGATTAGATATCAGGAAATGACTATTCTTTTTAATCTTATATTTGTTTGAGATATTGAGAAGAATGATAAATACTCAAAAAACTATTTTGTCCTTTTGAATTGTTTACTAAATAATAGAAATACTAAATTTGAATTGTAATTTTATTTTATTTTATTTTTGACTAGAGCTTTTAAAAAATTAAATAAATAGAACATCAATAAAAATTACATAAATTTATTTTAATTTTTAATTGAGATTTTTAAATTTTATTTTACTTTACTAAGTATAATTAATACCATGAAGGCATAAAATTTGAAATTTTTTTAGCTCCTTAATATTAGGTCAAAACAAACCCAACACTAACTTCCGCTATTTTAAAATAGCACAACACAATTCTTGGAACACATAAACAAATGTAGGAACACCATCCCAGAAATACAACAACTTAATCCTTTTGTTTTTGTTTGGTTTTGTTTTGTTTTTTTCTTTTAGGAATAGAACAACATAATTATATAACAAGACCAGAGAAATGCATAATAGAGTTGTTTTGCTTCCTTAGCCAGAAGGTGAGCAGCATGCCCAGAATTATGTGAAAAATAATGAGGAAAAAGATGTTAAATAGTAGAGGGTCAAAAATGTCTTTTTACTATCTAATTCCATGGGAATAGTTATCTTGCATTTTGTGTCCCATACCCTCATTATGATAGAATAATCCAATAAGTTTAAAATTTCTACACCAAATAATAGACTATTCTATACTCCGAATATGGAGTCCTATCCCATGAGTGAATCCTACCAAACAAACACCTCCTTATTGGGTTATATGTCCTCTAAATGAGATTTATAAATAAATCTCTTATTATAATTCTACCATGTTGATCTAATTAACAATGTTTTAAAGGAGGTAAGATTAAATACATGTCCAATATATTATCGTATTGATTAAATGTCCAATAATTTCATGACGTGTATTTTTGTATTTTTAAAATTGAAAAAAATTACATTGACACTTTAAAACTCAAATACTTAACAACATTTTTGTTTATATATAGATTTTAAATTAAATGTGGTAGATAAATCAATACTTGAAAATTTATAATTAGTATTTTGGATATCTTTTAATTTTTCCTTTTGGATTTTATGAGAGACAACAGATTTGGATAAATCAGGAAGGAGATTATTTTATCTTCTTTCTAGAAAAACATAAATTTGAAATCATTACTATTTTAATAATTATTGGTTTAATGGGTTAGTCAGTAGTGTTTTTTAAATTATTTTTTAATTAAAAATTCACAAATTTAATTAGAAGTGTAGTAGTCTTTTACAAGGTTCTTCGTAAAAAGTCTCTTTTGTTTAATATATAGTACAAATACATATATATATATATGAATAGATACATATATATATATATATATATAATTTTGGAAGAAAATTTAAAAACTTTACTATACGTGATTGGTAAAGATTGATGTATGAAATATGAAATATTTATTAATTTTGTAATAAATGCATTTTAGATTTTATGACAAATGTATAATTAGGAAATAAAAATAAAAAATTACTCTACTTGATGTGCAAAAATTATGGTTTTTTATTTTATTTTATTTTTTTTATCAACAACGAAGAAAACTTTCTTGATGATAGAGAACCTTACACGTAAGGAAAAAACATCAACAAATGGGGGGGAATGATGCAAAAGTCATCATAACGAGACAACTGTAGATGCGCCCGAACGTCCCGGGAAAATCCCGTTTTGTTCATTGGAGCTTACCACAGTTCGGACTCAATGTCACGGTTCTGAATCTGATCTCACAAAATGCAATGCAAGATTGATATATCACCAAAGAGTCCAAATCCGACAAATCGTTTTGAAAAACTGATTTTTAGAAAGAAGTGCCAAACATGGACTGCTTTGCCAGATACAGAGTCGCCACCTAAATATTTTATTTTTGAGAAATTTAGGAAACCCTGACTCGTGCCTAAGGCCACATGTCCGTCATCACCAAAGTTGCCTCGGCTCGGGAATTTGGGTACGAGAGGGGAAGGTCATGCAATGAACACCCCCGCCCGCCCGATCAAAAATCGACCTTTACTAACATGATATCTTGTTTTTGAAAACACATGTGCACTTATTCCAGTTATTAACCTAGAATCATTATGTGATGCGTACAACATACAAGTATAAACTAGATCGCCTAAGTTGGAACAAAACATCTCATGTTTGTTTTTGAAAGCGGTTTGCTACTCGCAAGTAGGCTAAAATGTGGATTTTGCCACCCTCAAGTGGGCTTAGAAAACATGGTGATTTGCCACTATCAAGTGGTTTCAACTAATCCAACCTTCACCCATAGGCATTCAGGCAGTTATATCACATAAGCAATTAGCCTCATGGCAAACATGCTACCATGGCAGTCACCCACACACATACAAGGATGCTAAAGCATAAACACTTACCGAGTACTCCAAGCCAAAACAAAAGCTATGTTTGAAATCAATGCATGATCCTAGCTATGTCAAGAATGCCTAATGCAACACATACAAAATGTAACTAAGATAGGCTCGGCTATTCTAAAATGTCAGGTGAAATGCAATTTGATACATGTATTCAAACAGGAATTGAAATACAATGCAGTTAGCATGATGCGCCGAGCCAGGTGCATACAAGACAGATGAATGGATGCAAACATGCGAGCATAAGGATGCTAATTGAAACATGCCCTAAAACTAACCATCGTAAGCTGGTAAATAAAATGGAGAAAGAAATGGGGGGTTGGAGGACATGCATCACACACACGCACACTTATTCACAACAGTTGTGCCCTCTCGACGGAGGGTCCGAATAACAAGCTAACTAGCTAATCTAAGCTAATTTAATTAAACTAGCTATTACACAACAAAATGAATAACAAGCTACAGCTAATTATTACAAAACTCTAATTAATCAACAAATTAACTAAGTAAGCAATTTAAATAAGCATGTGAACTAAATGAAGTAGGCTGCCCTAGCTCTGCCTTGGATGACGAAGGATGCATGCATGCTTCAATCGCCTTGCGCGGAAATCCATCGCGATGCCCCAAATTGCCTCTGTTTGCAAATGTTTTCAGAACACTTCACCAAGCTCCACAAAGCTTCCACCCCACCTAGGAGACCTCTAGGGATGCTGCCGAC